TTCTGCGTTTATCTGAAACAGTACCAAAACATACAATGTTATCCTCGAAGCTACTTGCTATTACGAATAAAATTGCCGTTCACATTAAAGTAATATAAATGATTTTGTACTACAGGGTTTTCATTGAACTCACCTTTCGTACTCACTCTTATGCTGCTTCTCTTCCACTACACACTAATTGATAACTTTGCAGGTGTGCCTGTGCTGGAAAACTGCGTGAATTTCCATTCTGAAACAGTCGTTTCAGGAGGACGAAGAAATGCTACAATTATGCTTTATCATCGATTAGACATTTCAAGGATTTAACGATACCCGTAAAGATAAAAGTTGTCCTTGTGTCATTGTCTTTTTTTGATCCTCACCGTGCCACAATTAACCACTTATAGGAGAGTTTCGAGTTGCAGCAGCTACAACCTTAGCGCAGTATGTTTCTGTGACACTCTGTTGTAGTTATGCGGCCAGGTTCTTGGCTAACTCTGTAACTGTTCTTGAGATACTGTTGTATGTCTAATGGTGTGAAAGAGAGTTGGAAACCTAAAATATTTTCGCGTCTTGTCGCAAACATTTATCATTCGATCGATCTGATTGAAAGTGAACTCAAATATTGCTAAGAAGCTTATCTTCGGTATTCACTATTTATGGTCAAAAGATCAACACTTCGAGGCTTTTCGTTCCGCAGTAAATGGGGACATATGGTATTTGAAAAGAGATTCTTTTTATTTGTGCTGTCAAATATGTAATAGAGATTTTCCACTACAACAGCACTAGTCATACTCCATATATTTAGTACAAGGATCAAGCTTCTAGTTTGCTTATTCACCGAAAAGCAAACTTAGTCATGAGGATGTTAACTTCATGAACACACCTTCCCTATCTGTTTTAGGGCACGGCTTTCTGCATCATCTTGCGTTGGTTCTAAGTCAATAGGATTCTTGTTGTTGATGCAGAAGATATCTCGGTTTAAACTTTATTTTAGTAAGAATAGCCAGCACAAGTGCCACGTCGAGCTCCAGCACCACGACGACAACAGCCATCACCGTTTCATTAGCAAACACATGTGCTAACTGTCTATATAGCTTCACAGCACCTCAGTTTCCATCGTTCACTCTACCGGCCGCTCAACCGAACAGTCCCGGAGATCAACAGCTAAACTTGAACAATAACATTCGCCTGAGCAACGGAAGTGCACTGAATGCCGGCCAGGGATGTAATGGTGGTCGGTCAAGTGGAGAATACGCATATCTGAATGAAAGTAATGGCCAATGGATGACAAGTTACCCGGATGTTAATGGAAGACCTGCGGATCTGAACGTATTTTATGCTACGGCGCAAAGCGCATTAAATGTAGCTACATTACAAACGAACTACGCAAACTTGGGTATGTGGAATGAAATGATTTAGGAATCCTAACTGTATATTTTCTTCGTCTTTCTTTCAGCATTATTCTTGACCTGTAAAACAATTAGACTTAATATTACATGCAATAATGGTCAAAAGGGATGTATTTATTTTACGGTAAACTGCACAGCAAAACAGGGAAACACATCGGTTTGTTCAATGGGTTCCTGTAAGTGCGGATTCTATAATAATAAATGGAGAGAAATTGTCATAGTTATTTGTTCATTTAGCATCAACCAGCGCAACAGTAACATCGTCCAGTATGTAGAAAAAAGATTCCTTCTCTGAAACTTAAAGAGCAGACAAAAAGAATGGCACTCTGTGCTACCGCGGGGACGTCACTGCATTTCCCCATGACACTTTATGTCACTGCGACTTCTACGTATTGCGATACTACAGCTCTTTATATCCAGTACCACTGGATTTGTGGTCTGTCAAAGTGCTTGCGTAATGCTTATTACAAAGCGAAGGTTGTAAGAGAAAAGAAAACAGATTGGGTAGGAAAAAGAATCGATGAAAATAGACGGAAAGGAAAAAGTGGAATATCAGATGAGAGTAAATGTGTAAAATATTAATTATTTTTTGACATAGCGATGTCGATTAATTGTGCCGTGTTCAATAATAACCGGACGAGTAACACCATGAAAGCAGAGGAGCCTGCACCAGGAGCCTGCAATCGCAGTACGATATTTTATACATCTTTACTTTTCATTCTTTTGCACTTTGCCAAAGAATATTTATATCTACAAATGCAACAGTTTTGTAGTCAAGAGAATTCTCTATCTGTTACACCTTGAGCGAAGTTTCGGAAATTGATTTAACTAATGAAGAAATAAGTTGGAAAGTGTGTCTTGCAATTATTTCTGGCCCACCCGTTCATCGTTTTCAAGTGTGCACGTGGATGGAAATACCCACTCTTAATATACTGCCACAAGAAACTAATCGCGTTTGAATCTCAAGCTTTCTGATGGAGAATATCAGAAGCAAACAGAAAGAAAAACAGGAGATTGCGAAAGGCTTCTGTTTTTCTTCTATATAAGCTTTATTCTGTCAGAATACAAGCGGAAGAATATTCCATTATCGTATTCTAAACTAAAACTATCGAAAAACACAAAATCAATTTTTGTACGAATAGAGGTTCGAACATGTGAACTTAGCTTTGTAGTAAACTACAAAACTAAATTCACCGTTCTGTATTTATATTCTCTACAACGATTGAAGTTGTGCAATCGACTCGATGTTATCAGTAGTAGTTTTTTGGTATGTTTTTCTGTGTTCTGCTTTTTAAAGTTTGTTTTCACTTACTTTTCGAAAATACGATGCGTATAATCTTACAAAGCATTCGCTTTCGCAGCTTAGTCTGACGAACCAAAAGTGTCGTAAAGTATCATGTACCTAAGTTCTGATTTGAAGAAAGTTTCGCCATGTCATTCTACTTAGAAACAAGCATGTTATTTCGTAACAGATACACCTTCACAATCAACAGCAACGACTGCCAGTACGGAAACAAGTGTCGCATCATCTAGCACTAGCACAATATCAACAACAACGTGTACGGCTACTGTAGAGATCGGCATAGGTTGTTTCGACGACGCCGATTGTCCACCTGGTGCGTTTTGTGATACTGCCGGTGTGTGTGCTAGTGTTATACCGTGCTGAGCACATTAGCATCTACAATTTCGTTTACATACACATGTTTATTAATACTTTTACGTCCATCACTATTCAGTTTTAGTTTGAAAGTTTATATAGTTTTAGAAAATGCTTATTTTCTTTGAATCATCGATAATATGTCTTTATTTATAAATAAAAATTCCAGCCGTTTTTCGTGAATGATATAATATTTTAACTTGCATGTCTCCTTATACATAATACATTAATCATCTGCTGAAATTCATAAGGTTGAGTTCTTTTCAAACTTGATATTTTTCCACTACAGAGTTTTATTACTTTATAAGGATTGCTAAGTTTAGACCAAGTAGAGCAGTTCAATATAAATTATCCTCTAGAAAACTTTGACAAAAAAGATGCGTTATATCACTACAGTACATATCGAGTATCAAATCAACAGGCTTGAGTTCTCCACTTTTTATTTCTTAATAAACCAATAGTGATCTCAGCGGCCTGGGATACGCCCAATCAGATGTTCTTACTTATGGGTTTTAGAATTTCATCGTTTTGGTACAACAATGCTCTATCTACTGATGTATTTCGCTTGGCCGTGCATATCGCAAACGTCTTCTCTTTTTTTGCGGAATCATGGTTCACATGGTTCCAAGATTCTGTCACTTCCAGAACCGAATTCGAGGCCTAGATTTTCCAAAGAAAAACAGAATCCAGGAAAGAGGTTCTGGTTGTGAGATGCAAGCATCATGATTTTCTGAAAGCCTTTTAGTCTTAATTCTCTAACGGCATTAAATGTAGAAGAAGGAAGCATGTACAGTTCAGCTACTAGAAACGCTAATACAAACTTATTGTTTGCTGAAAATTCTTAAATACAGGAAAGCAAGTGTCTACGTTTTGGGTAGGAAAGTTTCTTGGACGTTTTTTACCGTAGGTCAAATAACGCAGACTGCAAGAAACGCAGACTACTAAAAACAGCTTCTCAGCGTCTTTATTAATATACTGTCTCTGTGATCTCATGAGAGAACATCTGCCTCTGAGAACATGACCTCTGGTTCGAATACGACCTGTTGACGCTTTTCTTGATGTTTTCCTTGCGATTGCTTGCTAATGTACTTTACTCAGCAGGAAGATTTTCTTGTCTTAATTTCTTGTCATACCGCGTTGCAAGAAAAGCTATTATCTTGTAAGAGTAAAATATTATAGTTCTTCCAACAACGTAAGATCATGGATGTTTCCTAAATCCTAGAAAGTGCACTGGAGTTGTTAACTCGCTCCGAAAACGTCAGTGAATGTAACCTGCGTGTTTCAAATAACAGTTTTCCACAAGAATTTAATTACAAGTTATTGTTGTGTTTAGTGACAGTTTGTAGACGACTAGGACTGACTGAGCAACCATAATAATATTATAATGAATATCGAAGCTAATATGACCTATGTAGGCACCTGCTCCAATTCCATAGTTGGGATAAAAACTCACTGTTTCGGTGCCTAAGTCGAAGACAGGTACAATACTCAAATACGTAACCTGAGATCCAAACCATATTCGATTGCAGGTGTCGAGTGTCATGAAACGCACACTCGTCCCATTTGGGAACTGATACACATTGTAAAGAGTTGCAGTATTTAAATCGATCATAAACATCTGAGAGACGGGAAGATATGTAACTACGTAGACACGTTGATTTGCAATAACAAGGTCAACTGGACTAATATTATAACTCGAAAAATTGAAAAACACTGACACATTGAATGTAACGAGGTTTAGTTTCCAAACGGACTTAAAAATCCAATCACAGACATATATGTAATTATTCAGTTTTTTCAGACCTCGACCTTGAATGCCGATAAAAATAGAGCTTTGATAATTTAGATTCAAGTCATACAAAACAAGACTATAATTTGTATAAAGTGGAACATACAGAGTTGAATTGTCAACAATACCATTATACCAACCACTCGTCGTTACATTTCGTATGACCGACAAGTCTGATGCATTGAGCAGAGCCAGACGGTATGCGGTAATGGCTATCAATGTATTACTTGCTGCCACGAAGAAAACTTGTTGAATACCTGTCATACCAGTAGCATTGATCACAGTGGCTGATAAGCTAGCGTTTAAAATCTGTTGTGGATCACAATAACACAACTGTAATCCGATGCTGTACACATAGTTCGACGTGGTTAAATTCACTGACCAAGCTGCTTTTTGTGCCCACTTTTGCTGAATCAACTGACAGGATTGATTCGAAGGAAAACAATTGACACCGTAACAAGATGGCGAAGAATTCGATTGTTGGTAGATCAGACAGTCGCACAAACAATTCGTACAGTTCATGTCTGATGCTGTTTGTACACTACTGTTTGTCATTACAGTCAGAAATCTTGATCGTCCAACTTGAACGGTATATACGCATGAGAACGAAAGTGTAATGATCGTTAAAGACAAAAATGCAAAGGTGTAAGACATGTCGAGACAAGACCAAACTAAAGTCTTATATAAATTATCAGCGAGTAGGGTACGCACACAGCGTCATGGACGCCATCAAAGCAGATAATATGTCAGTAATACATTTATGCCCGTGATACATCTATTCTTTCTTTCTCGATTACAAAAATGTTCATTCCATCACATCGCACAAAAGTGAGTCTTTAAAAAAAGACTCGACATTTCTCATCATATCACTTCAAAATCCAATTCTGTTTCTAATTTTGGACGGAAATATGTTCTAACCGAACGTCATTTTGATTATGAAACACGAGTAAAATATTATTTAAAATATTTTTTTATGTATTATTGCAATGTTGCGGCAGTCCTTGTTTTAGGACTACTTTATTTCGGTTTCTTTATTGCTTCTTTTAAAATAAACTTTTTGAACCCAAGCACAATGTTCAAGATTGCGCCTCAGACAGGAAGACATGCAATTCTCGAGATAAGACCGTTAACAAATCTGACGGTAGTTGGATCAAATAAGCTTGATAAGCAAAACTATAGTTGGGTGACACTTTGATTAGAATAATCTTTCGTTTTTCTTTTCAGTTTCTAACGTGAGAAAGCATATCCATGTGGTAAATGTCGGCTAAAACTCGGCGATATATCTCGACAGCGGGTCCGACGTGTAGGACGATATATCGCGAGAAATCGCCGACTTTTAGGAGATCTTTTAGCATTTGAGACGATAAGACACGACATACAGGCGGTTGTTTTGTTCCTTGCAATTCACAGGTCCACCTTCTAATAACTGCGTCGTGCTGGTCGACTTTTAAGCCTACCGCTGCATGTCAGCAAAATTCAAGTAACTTCCTTCATATGAGTATCAACAAGCGCTTCTTCATTGTCGGTTTTTGTGTGTCATTTATGTTCATTCACTGCTATGAATACTGCGATAACTATCGTCCATTCCGCTGCAATATATGACACTACTTATTTATAACGCAGATTAGATCAGATAATGGTGCTATAGTATCGGTGATGCTCACCCTAAATATATACAGAAAAAGATAGAAAAGTTATTGAATGAAAAAGCAATAAATTAATATCCTGATTTAAAAGCGGGAGAGTCTATACGACATATTTATATTTAAAAAGATCTTAAAGACAGGAAACGAAATCACGAAGAAGTGTGTTAAGTATCTTCGAAGGCTGATACTTTTATTGCAAATGAGAAGAATGGTTTATCGTTGAAATTTGTAAAAGAGAGGCTTGATTTTTTGACGTAAAAGTCTGTTCATTCCAAAAGTATATTTAAACTAATGTATTTGATGGAAATCTACCTGTAGATAAATTGAATTCAACATGAATTCATCAACTAACAATATCGCAAGAACGGACAATTATATTAGGTTTTAAAACTTTTAGCATCAGCACCAAATGAATCTTGTCTTACACATCGCACCGATTGGTATCTCGCAAAATCGAGCCCATAGGAAGATGGTAAGCTGAGTGTGTATATCGATAAATCTTTATCTCCCGCTCTACAATTGACTGTAAATTATAAGATATGCATTCAGTTGTCGTGGGTGTAAATCGAGAAAACTTATTCGAATTGATGCATTACTGGTCTCGAGCTGGAGACTCGATTTGCAAATTAATGCATGAATCAGATATTTGGTGCGAGCACACGATAGTGGACTGGAGAAATTTTTGTCGTGGTATCTCTGCGGAACATAATCTGTGAAATTCGTCAATAATTCGTGATATGTGTATAATTTTTCCGTTATTCAGTTAGTATTTATGCAGGTTATCTTATCGTTTTTCTAGTTGCAGCACATACGGTGGCGATTCCCGACAACTGCTTGTCTTTCTGTCTGAGGTGCAGTCTTGAACTTTGTGCAAGACGTTTATTTTAAAAGAAGAACAGAAGAATTTAAGACGAAAGAACGAACTCAAACAGAGTACTCCTAAACCAAGCTTGGTCTGCCGCAATATAGCAATAATATTTTGCGTGTGTTTCATAATCAAAATGAAGTTCAGTTAGAACATGATTCTGTCCAACATTAGAAACAGAATTGGATCTTGAAGTGATAGAATGAGAAATGTCGAGTCTTTTTTTCAAAAACTCATCATACTTGTCAGTAATAGCTGATTTTCTTTTTGTGCTTCTCAAGTAATTAGTATTTCTCTTTTGTGCGATGTGATGGAATGAACATTTTCTTAACTGAGAAAATAGGGATAGATGTTTTCAGCGTTGATTACTTCTTTCATGACCTTTTGTGCGTACCTTATTTCGATAGTAAGAGGACACCTATTCCTAAGCAATCAAAAGTTTTTGTAAAATGAAGGGGTACTGTTAATGAATTTCTTTAATTTTCCTTTGTATTTTGTTCGTGCAATCTTTAGATTTCACTCCCAATAACATCAGGTTTTAAACTACTCAATGACAGCCTAAACCAGTAACAGTTCAACTTCTTACCAGTTTCCTTCTCCTGTGATAGATAACACAAAGTCCTAGCCGTAACATTTTCTGAATCAACGGAGGAATAAATGCATTGCTTGATGATGTAAGATACGGCAAGTTAATATTTACTCGACTTTG